GTATGGGTCACATTTTCCCATTTCTTTGCATATCTTATAGTTTTCTGTTGAAAAACCAGACATTTTAGATAATATATTGTAGTTACTCTGCTCCCCTCAATGTTTGTTGTTTATTTGTTTAGGTACTTGATTAGTTTTTTAATAAAGTACATTCCTTCCCCCAAGTATAGCCTCCAATGTTGCTCTTCAGAGGGCACAGCCTTGAGCTTGCTCTGACCTCTCCTTCCCCATCTCTCTCTTTGTCTCTCCCTGGGGATTGAACCCAGGACCTTGCACATGCTAGACAAGTGCTTTACCACTAAGCTATACCCTCAGCTCTCTTTTACTCTCCATTATGGTTTAGACTTGAGGTGTCCCCCCAAAGCTCATGTGTGAGACAGTGAAAGAAGGTTCAGAGGCAAAATAATTAGATAATGAGAGTTGTAACCCGGTCAATGGATTAATACACTGATAGGGATTAACTGGGTGGTAACTGAAGGCAGGTGGGGTATGGCTAGAGGAGGTGGGTCATTGGAGGTGTGCCTTTGGGGTTTATATTTTGTCCCTGGTGAATAGAGCGCTCCCCCCACTCTCTCTCCCCTTCTTGATTGTCATGTCCTGAGCTGCTTTCCTCTGTCACACCTTTCTGCCATGATGTTCTGCCTCCCTCTGGGCTCAAGAGCAATGGAATCAGCCATCTATGGACTGGGACCTCTGAAATTGTGAGCCCCAAATAAACTTTTCCTCCTCTATGTTGTTCTTATCAGGTATTTTGGTCACAGTGGCAAAACAGCTAACTAAAACACTCTTTTTTCTATGATCTCCCTGTTAAGTTTCTGGTTTGCCTGCCTCATACCCAGTTGTTAGCCTACACTAATTACTAGTTGTTTACTCCATTGTTTTCCACAATGACCTGCAGCATAAATTCTTCCACAGGGTAGTACTATTAAATGCTGTCCCACTGTTAGGACAGTCCTTGAGACCTGTTGTTGAGCTTTACTACCAATATCAAGGTGGCTTTTCTTAGCTGCATTGTCTTTTAACTTGATCTACCTTTTTTTTTTTTTTCTCATTTGCTGTCATGAGAATACCAATCTCCTCCTAACTGTTCACTAGAAAGATCTGCTTTTTCTAAATATGGGCCTTAGACTTGAACTTTCCCATTCTCTATTTGAAAAAAATGTCAGTTCCCTTAAGGAGAGCTACAAAGCTTTCTGTTCTTATGGCTTCATCTCCACATTGGCAGAAACTCTGTATTATTGTTCTGTGAATAGGGGCAGGAATCTATAGGGGTACCTCTTACAGGCAGGACTATGGACATGGAATGCATCCCTGGTTTTCTTAGTTTCTCCTTTCTTCACTGGGTGTAGCCTCTACCTACAAGCAAGCTGAGGTGACAGTTATTGGGGTTCAGTTTTCTTGGCCTGCTATGCATGGGATAAACTGTCTGTCCTACAAGTGGTATGTGGGTAAAGGCCTGACCTCTCTTCCTGGAATAGAGCTTCTGCAGTATAGAGCTGGAAAGTATAAGGAAAGTTGGTAACCAATCCTTCTGGAGAGAAATCATACCCTTATATTGCAAGATGGGAAAAGGTGGCCCTGCGCTATTGGCTACAGTTACCTAGAGTAGGTTCCATTTCACTAAGCTGGATGAGGTGGGGAGAATAGTTCATGGCTCAAATGTCATAAACTCTAGCTTTTCTTACTAAGATTCAATAGATTTTCTTGAATAAATTCTCCTCTATTTAATGGAAACTTTTGGAACAATTTCCACAGAATTTAATTATTTGGTTGTTTTTATTAAAAAATAATTAATATGGTTATTCTTATGGCAAATAGAATCCAGAGATCATCAGTTCACTAATCTTGAAGTGCTTTTTCAAATAATTTCTTTTTAGAAAAAATGTCTTAGGACTATTACAAGGATGAAAATAATAATGAATTCCCATTCCAGCTTCACTTTAGACATTTTTTTTTCTTAGAAAGAGAGAGAGAGAGAGAGAGGGAGAGAGTTTTTTTAATATTTATTTTTTAGTTTTTGGTGGACACAACATCTTTATTTTATTTTATTTTTTTATGTGGTGCTGAGGATCGAACCCAGTGCCCTGCACATGCCTGGTGAGCACGCTACCGCTTAAGCCACATCCCCAGCCTAAGACAAAATTTTTAACCTGCACTTTTCTTCATTTATAATGAGAACTAAACATCACTTTATAGTAAGAATCAAAAGATCATTAAAATACAGTCATGTGTCAGTAAACAAAGGGAATAATACCTTCTGAGAAATTAATCCTCAGATGATTTGTTTTGTAGTGGGATCATCATAGAGTGCATTTACACAAACTAAGATGGATTCAATATCACTAGGTGATATAATCTTATGGTAGCACAATCATATACGTGGTCTATCATTGACTGAAATGTCATTATGTGGTGCATAACAATAGCATATATAAAGCACCTAACACAGAATTGACTCATAGCAGATGTGATAAATGTCACTTCTCTCCCCTTCATGCAGATGACCCTCAGTCTGGATAGCTATATGTTTACACTAGCAGAATATCTGAATTATGGCCTATCTGTAATAAATGTTGAATAGGATTTAAGATGGACTGATGAATGGAAGAATGAATGAAATGATCAGAGTGATTTCTAAGTTTACAATCTCTAATTTATCAATATAAAAATTATGGGTGATGTTCACATTTTAATGGTATAGTCTAAACAGTCTAATCAGAACTGATGCTCTCAGGGGTGGCTACATAATTAGCAAGGCAGAGTAGAGAAAGCAAAATGGGGCCTTCTCTTCAAACATTATTAAGAATTTCAACATGGCAAATCATTAAACCATGTTTGGGGCTATTCCAACCATGGGGTCCTTTATAATTACACAGGACACATAACCCATGAAACTATCCTTGCTCACCTCAGCCCTGGAGTAAGGTTCTGATGGACTCCTCCTGCTGTGATAGGTGTTATACTTTAGTTGATGGATCTGGGAGGTCCTAGGAGAAGGGTACCAAGTGAAGGACTGAAGCAGCCCCAGGTGCAGAAGACAGATGACTTAGGACTATGACCTAGGGCACTGTCTGTGTACCTAGCATTTGGGAAAAATTCAATTTCTTAAAATTCCATCATAATGCAATATAAAAGGCAGTTCACAAAATTCAACTTCATTAAGTTTGGGTTCACATTATTGTAAGGTTAGTAAACCTACACAGGATAGCAGGTCAGGAAATCCAGGGAACCTTTTCTAAGATTCAATGGATATTGATTCTCACATCCAATTTGTTGAGAGCAATGCTGTTTGGGACTTCCAGGATTATAGCGGTCACTCCAGAAATTCTTTGATGAGAAGGGCCTGTTATGCATGCCCTAAACAGGAGAATTACAATACTAGCTCTCGAAAACCCACTCAGCACCCCAGAATGGAGTTGCCTGCTATTTCCCTGCTTGACCTTGACCTCTCTCCTCCACATCCCTTTCTCCTCCCCAATATTCCCTAAGCATACTAACAACAATTTTGGCAAGCCCTGATTTAACAGCAATTGTCATACCTTAATTCATATTACCATAGGGGTTTTAATGTTTAATAATGACAGGTCTACTTACAGAAAGAGTGGTGCATTATATCATTGATTACAAGTAGTAGTTAAAAAAATAATATTGTGGTTTACATTTCCATTTTAGTTATTTTTCCCTTTTAGAGATGATCAATGGCAATGATATTCACAATTGTTGCCCTGCTTACGAGCTTATCTCTCCATTAAATTATTTTAGCAATTTTCATTCTAAAATACTATTATATATCCATGTTTTTCAAGTGGAATGTGCAAATGAATCACTGGAGGATGTAGTTAAAATGCAGATTGCTGAGTAAATCTTGGTTGGAGAGTTTTTAATAAGCTCCCAGGTGATGCCTACTCTACTCTGAATAATATTAAATAGAAAATAGTCCAAACTAAAACCCGTCTCTTTTTTTTTTTTTGGTTGTAGATGGACACAATACCTTCATTTTATTTATTTATTTATTTATTTATTTATTTATTTATTTATTTATTTATTTTCTAATGTGGTACTGAAGATCAAACCCAGTGCCTCACACATCCTAGGCAAGTGCTTTACCACTGAGCTACAATCCTAGCCCCCAAACCTGGCTCTTGATTGTAATCTGTAGTCCATTATTCCCTAAATTTTAAAGCAACTGTCTACACCTCAGTAGTCTACACTGAGGTAGACTTTGAAGTTTGTGTATACTTTTAAAAGGATTCTTACCGATTTCACAGGCTTTTGCCTTTTGGTCCTTGAACCAAACCAAAATAAAACACAAACAAAAAACCCCCACACTGTCTGAAATTAGGAAAGGCTGTCTGCTCTTAGTATGGGAAATTCCCAAGCTTTTCCTTGTAGTTTATGACCTCTGAATTTCTCAAATATGATCCCTAGTCATTTCTTTATTTTCAGCCTTAAAGCACTGCATTCTTCCCACTTTTTTCTTTCATGAAATATGAAGCACATACTTAGGACTATGAATATATTTAAAACTTTTTGCTTCCAACTGGTCCTCTTCTCAAGTTACTTTTAAAGCCAAATGATCTTATTAATGGTGAATACTTTTGTCCAGAGTGCAATTTAAAACAACAAGTAAAAAAAAAAAAAAACAACAAACAAACAACAAAAACAAACAAACAACAACAAAAAAAACCCCTCATTTTTCAAAACTCTGTAATATCTCCAGACTCTGGGCAAGTTGGAAAATCACATCACTTTATTAATACATCATTGAATAGAAATTTCGCCTATCCCTTGACTTCTCTATGTGCATCACTATCACTACAGATTTATGAGGAAAACAAAAACTTCATAAAATCCAGTAAATTTACCACTAGCTGAGGGTTTCAGTACTTTAAAATTTATTTAGATGCAACAAAGTTTTACAGTAAGATGTAATCAACATTTGAAGTTCCATTTAATAAAACTCGTTTTAACCTTCAGCCATATAACTAGAAATTGATAAGTCAGCATAGTGTCTCTTGACGAGAAAAAGCTTCTTTTTTTGTGAGAAAAATCTGAAATTTAGAAAGAGCTCTGTTATTAATCAATCCTCAATAATTCAGAGAAAAAAAAACAAAGCATTCAGCAAAGTGAAGCATTTCATGCACACTCATAGTATTAAGATTTTTTCCCTTCAATTTACAACTTCTCCTTAAAGCCCACTAACCCATAGTGATCCCCTCCTCTTCTGAAATTTTATAACATTATCAGTCCAACTCAAATAGCAATTATTTAAAATCATCTCAGAGACGGGGCCTGGTGGCTCACACCTGTAATCCCAGCAACTAGGGAGTCTGAGGCAAGAAGATTGCAAGTTCTTAGCAATTTAGCAAAGAACCTCTACAACTTAGACCCTGTCTCAAAATAAAAAAATAAAGTAAAATAAAATAGTAAAAAAAAAAGGACTGAAGACAGGCGTGGTGGCCTGTAATCCCAGTGGCTCAGGAGGCTGACGCAGGAGGTTCGTGAGTTCAAAGCCAGCCTCAGCAATTTAAAGACTGGCTAAGCAACTCAATGAGACTCTGTCTCTAAAGAAAATAAAAAATAGGGGACTGAGGTTGTGGCTCAGTGGTAGAGCACTCGCCTAACGTGTGAGGCACTGGGTTCTATCCTCAGCACCACATAAAAAAATAAATAAACAAAATAAAGGTATTGTGTCCATCTACAACTAAAAAAAAAAAAAAACAAAAACTCAGTGGTCAAGTGCCTCTGAGTTCAATCCCTGGTGCCCTCTCTCTCCCCGCCAAAAAGGACTGAAGATAGAACCCATTAGTAAAGTACCCCTGGGTTTAATCCTCAGTACCAAAAAAAAAAAAAAAAAGTAGTATCACAGGTTATGTTTTTGCATGGATTTTGCCTCCCCCTACTAGTGCATGAGTTCCAAGGGCAGGCTGCATGTTTTATCATTTTGACACGTCTCCTACCTAGACCCACACTAGTAGTGTACTTCACTCTATGACCATTTTCCATCACTCTACTTTCTCCCAATCCTTTGTTTTCCCTGTAACTCTTTCAATGTTCACTAATCTAGAAGTAAATAGTATTTCATATTCTAAACATGATTCTCTTATTTTGATAAAACTAACACTCACACCAAATTCCAAAATGTAGCCTTTTAGGTCAATTTTTGGAATTACTGTATTTTTCTGAAGACATCATAATCTAATCAGCATTAATTGTATACCCACAGTGAGGAGGCAAAGTTATAAAACGTAGGCCCACCAGTTAAAAACAAAGGACTTTTTTTTGTTATCTACTGTCTCAATCTAAACATTATAATGTTACACAACTTACCTTTTTCAGTACAGCTTTGTGTTTATACAAGAGCAGACAAGTTATTAATAAAATAAAAAATGAAACAAAAATAAATGGTATCACAAAAAATACCATAGTTTTCGTCCATACGCCATCTAGGATTAAAAATCACACAAAAGGGAGACTGTTAGAGGCTTATATCTAATTTTTTTTAACATTCCTTTCTTTTTTTAGTTGTTGTTGGACACAATACCTTTATTTTATTTACTTATTTTTATGTGGTGCTGAGGATGGAACCCAGGGCCTCGCATGTGCTAGGCGAGCGCTCTACCTCTGAGCCACAACCCCAGCCCCAGCCACAACCCCAGCCCCTTATAACTAATTTTTGAAATCAAATTATTTTATAAATAAAGTTCTAGTTAATGGTGAAGAACTGCATTACACCTTGCAACCCGGCAGCCCCTGCTGTGTTTGTCAGTGTGTAGATGCCACAGTGGTATTTCAGTATATATCATTCCATTCATTTGTGAACTACTTGTTTATACAGAACAATTACTTTCTCAAGCTCTTCGTCCCTACCCTGTCCTTGTTTACTCCCCTTATATCAAAGGGGTCATTTGGTATTTGTTTTTTAAAGATTGACTAGCTTCACTTAGCATAATCTGAAGATGTACATTAAACAGGGATGAGAGGTGGGAGGGAAAGGGAGTGAGAAGGGAAATTGCATGGAAATGGAAGGCGATCCTCAGGGTTATACAWAAKGWCATATAAGAGGWAAGGAGGGGTAAGWCAAGAKAATACAAATGGAAGAMATGATTTAYAGTAGAAGGGGTAGAGAGAGAAAAGGGGAGGGGAGGGGAGGGGAGGGGAGGGGAGGGGGGATAGTAGAGAATAGGACAGACAGCAGAATACATCAGACACTAGAAAGGTAATTTGTCAATCAATGGAAGGGTAACTGATGTGATTCAGCAATCTGTATATGGGGTATAATTGGGAGTTCATAACCCACTTGAATCAAATTGTGAAATATGATGTATTAAGAACTATGTAATGTTTTGAACGACCAACAATAAAAATAAATAAATAAATAAATAAATAAATAATAATTAAAAAAAAAAAAAAGAACAATTACTTTATTGAGCTGTGACTTTTTTCTGGCTAGTATCGAAGATAGAACCCGGAACCTTGGCATGCTAGGCAGTTACTCTATCACTGAGCACCGTCCCCTAGCCCCTGAACTGTGACTTCTTTTAATTTCAATCAGAAAAATAACTACCCTAAGTGCATTTCCTGATATGATTCTGTTTAAAATTTGACCTTGTGAATTTTCATTTAAAAATAGCACTGGGCATGGTTGTGCATGCCTATAATTCCAGCAACCCAGAAAGCTGAAGCATAAGGATTGAAAGTTTGAGGACAGCCCAGGAAACCTAGTGAGACCCTGTCTCAAAATTTAAAATAAAAAATAATAAGGGATGGGAATTGAGCTCAGTGGTAGAATGCCCTGGTGTTCAATCTCCAGTATTAAATAAGTAAATAGGATAAAATATTAGTCAAGTGATTAAACAAATATGTTCTCTAAATCTTTTAACTCTCAGCAAATCAAATGTTTACTTATATCACCTGATGCTGTAAGGAGCAGGAGCTCATCTTCAATAAAAATATATGTGTGCATGAGGAATGGAGCTAGTCTTTTTTTAACAGCAGATAAATTTTTATTCAGCCTCTTAGCTCACAGCATGAGGTAAAAGAAAAACAGTTCTTCTTAATCAATATTTTACAAAGCTATAGTAAAATATTTTACACTTCAGGAATTTATAAGGGATTACATTTCTCAAAAGTTGGGATCTAGTAAACAAATTTTAACTCCTTAAATTTTCTGGTGACCCTTCCTTTATGAAAGTAACAAGTTCTAATTAGCTTTATAAATTTTAGGGCCAAGTTTTATCACTGTTGCTGTCTTTAGATCTGAAATGCTGCTATTTCAATCATCATTCAGTGATTCTACTTTAGAAATTAGTTTTGCATTTGGTAGAATCTGGGCATCAGACTGTTCTTTCTTTTCATAAACCCATTCTGATTCAATCTCCAGTATAGCCTTTTGTTCTTTACTCATAGCCAGAAGTAATTTATCTCATCCTCTGATAACTTGGACTATTCCAACCTTAAAACTTGAAGGCTTGACATTTTTCTTTTTCTTTGGACTGATTTGAATATTAGTATCAACAACAGTCCTTTCCTGTAGTGTTCTAATGTACCAACAATGAACATCTCCCTTTTTCAGAAAAGTTGGTTTTATTCCCCACCCCTTGTGTGTATGTGTATGTGTGTGGAGGAGAGGGGCAGATACTAGAGATTGCACCCAGGGCCATGATTCCATTAAGCCACATCTCCAGCTTTTTGACACAGGGTCTCTCCAAATTTACTGAGGCTGGCCTGGAACTTGAGATCCTTCTGACCCAGCCTCCCGAGTCACTGGGATTATCGGCCTGTGCCACCACACCTGGCTATCTCCCTGTTTTAGAACAGATTCTGTGAATTTGGGTGGCCCCTCATCTGGAGTCTCTTTCATACTTGCTTTCTTTTGAGTTAAGCTTCACATTTTTCACTCGCTGGAACACTTATACTTTTGGCATCACTAAAATGCTTACTTTCAAAAAGATGGTAATAGACTGTAACTAAATGCCCTTATTAGCTGTTTGGCTACAATTTCAGTGTTTCCTAGTAAATTATGCTCTTCAAGAAATGACTGTGAGCCAGACATAGTGGTGCATGCCTGTAATCCCAGGGGCTGGGGAGGCTGAGGCAGGAGGATCGTAAGTTCAAAACCAGTCTCAGCAAAAGTGAGGTGCTAAGCAACTTCGTGAGACCTTGTCTCTAAATAAAAATACAAAATAGAGCTGGGGATGTGGCTCAATGGTTCAGTGCCCCAGAGTTCAATCCCTGGAACCAAAAAAAGTAAAAAAAAAAGAAAGAAATGACTGTGAGGGCTGGGGTTGTGGCCCAGGGGTAGAGCACTTGCCTAGCATGTGTGAGGCCCTGGATTCAATTTTCAGCACCACATATAAATAAATAAAAATAAAGGTCCATCAACAACTTAAAAAAAAAAAAAAGAAAGAAAGAAAAGAAATGACTGTGAACTGTGGCTCTACCAAAACTTGTTAAAGTCCTTCTTGTACAGATGGTTACTGCACTGCCTGCAAATAGCCTCCCTCCCCATGCCTCTGCTTTTGGAGCTAATCTTTCAAGGTCATCTTTCTCCTTCTTCTTCTTCTTCTTCTCCTTCTCCTTCTCCTTCTTTTTTAAATGAGAAGGTGTCTCACAATATAGTGAGGCTAGTCTCCAACTTCTTACAAGCTACAAGCACAGGCCACAATGCCAGGTTCAAGATTACATTTGTACTTTTTTTTTTAACATTATCTCACATTTTAGAGACTACAGGGAAAGCCAAGGTTTTTCTTTTCTGTTTTATTATTTTAGAAATGAGGTTTTAATGGTTCTGAATAGCAAGAAATCACTAGACAAACTCAAAAGGAAACAGTTTGTCCTTTCCCAACTAGAATCTCCCACTTGTTTTGGAGTAATATACACCATGTTAAATCAAGTTCAAGGCCAGTCTGGGCAACTTGATGTGACCCTGTCTCAAAATAAAATATAAAAATGTCTGGGGATGTAGCTTAGAGGTACAGTGTTCTTAAGTTCAATCCCAAGTACCAAAAACAAACAAACAAACAAAATTCTAAAGAACTAAGACAGGGCTGGAGATGTGGCTCAGGCGGTAGCGCGCTCGCCTGGCATGCGTGCGGCCCGGGTTCGATCCTCAGCACCACATACCAACAAAGATGKTGTGTCCGCCGAGAACTAAAAAATAAATATTAAAAATTCTCTCTCTCTCTCTCTCTCTCTCTCTCACTCTCTCTTAAAAAAAAAGAACTGAGACAACATGATACTCAACAAATTATTTGTTGCTAATTTCATTGAAATTCTACTAAGCCAGGTTCCTTGGTGCATGACTGTAATCCCAGCGGCTCGGGAGGCTGAGGCAAAAAGATCGCAGGTTTAAAGCCAGCCTCGGCAATTTAGAGGGACCCTTAGTAATTTAACAAGACCCTGTCTCAAAATAAAATACAAAAAATGGTTGGGGATATGGCTCAGTGGCTGAGTACACCTAGGTCCAATCCCTGGTATTCTCCCCAAAATAAATAAATAAATATCACTGATAAGATTGTGTATAAACCACACAAAAGGATGTATATTTGAAGGATCTGGTTAAAAACTTGCCATATTCACTTTATACAATGCACTGACTAATGACAAGATGTCATCAAACATAACATTACAGAGTCTCCAGATTTCTAACAGCCATGGCAAAAAATGAAAAATGTAAGATCAAAAATGTTCTTTCTGGTGTTGGGGCTGTGGCTCAGCGGTAGAGCACTCATCTAGTATGAGCAAGGCCCTGAATTTGATCCTCAGCACCACATAAAGATAAATAAATTAAATTCGGGGCTGGGGTTGTGGCTCAGAGGTAGAGCACTTGCCTAGCATGCGTGAGGCCCTGGGTTTGATCCTCAGTACCACATAAAAAAATAAAATATATTGTGTCCAACTATAACTAAAACATAAATATTTAAAAATAAATAAATAGGGGCTGGGGTTGTGGCTCAGTGGCAGAGTGCTTGCCTAGCATGTGTGAGGCACTGGGTTTGATTCTCAGCACCACATATAAATCAATAAAGGTCCATCAACAGCTAATAAAATATAAAATAAAGGTATTGTGTCCAACTACAACTATGTTCTTTCGGATTCTGTATATAACTCTTGGTTAACTGAGTTCTACCCTGTCCTGCTTATTTTTTCTCTATGACCCTTAGTGATTATGTATTTGACTTCTTTGTTTATTGCCTGTTTCCCCAACTTGGGAATAAAATGTAAATTCCATTAATGTACGGATTTCTTTACGGCTGGACATTAAATGGTTGAAAAGAATCTGACACACAATAACTGCTTAATAAGTTTGACGAATGAAAAGGAACAATAATATCACTATATTCACAGAGAGACAATAGTCAGAGATTCCACTATAGAAGGACCACATGAAAGGAGATGCATGGGCCAAGTGTGGTGGTGCACACCTGTAATCCCAGAGTCTCCGGAGGCTGAGGCAGGAGGATCTCAAATTCAAAGCCAGATTCAGCAATTTATCGAGGCCCTCAGCAACTCAGTGAGACCCTGTCTCTAATTTAAAAAAAAAGGGGGGGGGGGCTAGGGATGCGGCTCAGTGGTTAAACACACATGGGTTCAATCTCAGTACCAAAAACAAACAAAAAGTATGATTTATATAGAAAGGCCAGCATATCTGTATATGTATTTATAGCTGCATCAATATTTATGTTCCTGGAAGAGCAATGCTGAGTTGATCTCTTTCAATTTTGAATCATTATTAGCAATTTCTACTAATAAAGCTAATATATTCTGAAGCACTACCATATTTTGCTTCACTTTCTAGGCTTTTTCTTTTATACTGCTATATAATTTGAATGTTCGTGTCATTTTAAATTAGTATTGTAGATGACTAGAATATGTATTTTACAAATCATAACTTCTTTTTTTTTTGAGAATTTTAGTATTTATTTTTTAGTTTTCGGCAGACACAACATCTTTGTTGGTATGTGGTGCTGAGGATCAAACCCGGGCCACAAGCATGCCAGGCAAGCGTGCTACCGCTTGAGCCACATCCCCAGCCCCAATCATAACTTCTTGTTAGAAAAATATCTCTTAGGCATAGACCTAGCCTTACTTTAAGATTTCTGTTCTCTTGAAATCTGAAAGCATAAGAAAATACTGATTACTATAGTCTCCTGCCCTCCCCTGACAAAAAATAATTTTTTCTTCCCTTCCTTACGTATATTTTAATTTTTTTGCTATAGTGATGATAAATATATTCTCTTTACCAACAGTCAAAAAAACAAGATTGTTGCTGGGCACAGTGGCACATGCCTGTAATCCCAGATGCTAGGGAGGCTAAGGCAGGAGGATCCTGAGTTCAAAGCCAGCCTCAGCAAATGCAAGGCACTAAGCAACTCAATGAGACCCTGTCTCTAAATAAAATACAAAATAGGGTTGGGGATGTGGCTCAGTGGTCGAATGCCTCTGAGTTCAATCCCCAGTACCAAAAAATAACAGGATCGTGCATAACAAGACTTCTATTTCTACATGAATATTAGACTTTCAAGAAATCTGTGTTTGGTTGAGGTGTTTGCTAACTTTTCTTCTCCATTGATAGACTACGCAGGAGACATTGCTCTCCATAATTGCAAAATACATTGAGAGAAAATTAATTTGCTAGCAAACAGCTACAGTTAATTAGTTACTGTCATTTTAGCTCATACCTACTATCCAGCATTCTTCGTCACTCCACTCACTCCAAAGTCCATCTTCTGAGCAATAAATATTCACTTTGCTTCTTATTAAAAAGCAGAGTTGTTGGCTTTCATTTGATGTTCTCGGGATGCGGATTTCATTTTCAATTGTGGTGGTCTAAAAGCCAAGGGGAAAAAAAATGAGATGTCATTATTTGATCTAATTTCAATTAAAGAAATTCCATCTGTCATTTTCAATGTGGGTTTGGCTTTTTTTTTTTAAAGAAAATATATGCATCGAAAGAATAGAAAGGTATAATCCTAGAAGTGATTATCTCTCTGTATGGTGGGGGTTTTTTCAATCTTTTTTTTTCTTCCCTTCCTTATCTATATTTTAATTTTTTGCTAAAGTGATGATAAAGACAGCATGTATGAGAGGGCAAAATTCCTTGGTGTTTGTAATGCCCATTAAAATAGACTAGTGTGAAATCTTCCTGTTCCTATAAACTGGAAGATGCTACATCCACTGAGTTTCCAAAAGACAGAACCATCATGTAAATGTGGTTTCTATGGAAACTATAGAGTTCATATACATAAAGGTGGGTTTTTTTCCTCTTGTTGTTACTCCATAAGACATGTGTAATAGTACTTGGATTGACATGAAACTATCATTGCAGATACAAGAATATCTCAAATTGGGTGATTTCATAGGGAAAAAAAACCCACTAAAGTAATTACTTCAATTTTGCATTTCTAAGAGCTGAAAGCTTTTCCCATCCAAAATAACAGTTTTTCATTTGTTGTAACTTATCATAATGTAGTGTAGATTAAGTCAACTGGGAATCAGATCTTGATTACAGTTCTAGCTGTGTAATTTGATTGTGAAGTCAATTCACCTCTCTGGGACCTGTAAGTCAATTCAACAACTAGTTTTCTCCTCTGTATACGAAATGAATTAATTAGAATTAGTGGCTTACTTTTTCCCACCACTCTCTAAATTGGAAACCATGAATAAAATTAGCATATAACAATGTGGGGTTAAACAACAAATACCACATTGTTGATGCTGTTTGGTAGTTTGTCTTAGAACTCTTCCCTACTTCCCCTGTGCTAAGCCCCTCTTCCCTGGTTAAACCAGTCCCTTGGAGTAGTGCCATATTCTAATTTTGACCTCATGGTTTTTCCTCAAGAATTGTTTTTGTGCTGGGCATGGTGACACACTCTGGGGCAGGAGGATATGAGTTCAAAGCCAGCCTCAGCAACTTGGCAAGACATTATCTCTAAACAAAATATTAAAAAGGCTGGGGATGTGGCTCATTGGTTAAGCTCCTCAGAGTTCAATCCCTGGTCCCCCCAAAAATAATTGGTTTTTTTTTTGGTCTGTGTTGGGTTTTTTTGTTTGTTTATTTTTACCTGAGGCCTCTTCACAATCCATTTTAGTCCCTTGGTAACTTTCATTTATTGATAAAAATTGGAAACAAGTGACTAGATTATCTCCAAAATCCAATATTGTTTTAAAATCAGTATGACTGATTATGCTTTCAGACTGGAAACATCTTTCTTTTGTCCACTAGATTTGAGTTTCTGGAAATTAAACTAAGATACATGTCATGTTTCATTCTTTTTGTGACTAGTAAATGATTTGTGTTCTCAAGTGTCCTAATTTATGTAAAAAATGCTATGTTTTGACTTTCCTAAATAAATTCAATGTTCTTACCATCCAGGAAGTTTCATCTCCTGTGAGCACAACTTCATAAATGAAACACTTAGCTGGAATGGGTCCTTTAGGTGTGCTCCATTTCAGGTTAATTTCAAATATATTCTTCACAGTAAGATTAAGATAGTCTGGTGGCAAAGGTTTAACTGAAAAGCAGAAGGAAACCATTTTAACATGGAGGTTGTTAAAATTAGAACCTTATCCAAAGGTGGGGACATCCAGGGTTAAAGGAAGTGGCTCAAGATTATTTATTGCCTATGATATGAATTAAAATCATAATCACTTGCCAATCAAAATGAGTTTATTGAGAAACTTGGCTATTTTGGAACTCATTTTTTAATATATCTTATGCTGATAAATATTTAAACCCAAGAGAAAAGTTAGAAGATCCAAACCATTCTGATAATTTTCCCAGTTTGTAGCTTAAAAAACAATAACCGCAACCATTACTACCACAACTCGTACTAAATACTAACCCCTTATGTTGTGCTTATGACAATCAGACAGTGTAACAGGGATGCTGCAACATGATCTCATTCATGTCTCACATTAAATCTATGAGGTAGTCACCTATTATTTTCATTTTACTAATATGGGAATTGAAACACATGTTAAGAAACTTACCCAAAGTTGCACAACTAGAAAGTGGTTGATTCAACATTCAAACCTACTGACCCTAGAACCTGTCACTCTTTTCACTGTTAGAACAGAAAATAGCCAACCATTTGCATATCATGGCCTGGGAATAAGAGATTCCATAATTACTCTGTCACTCACACTGAACAAAGTACCATATGCAAATTCTTTGATGCTGGGAAATAAATTAAGATTTCTAAATGAAAATGATGCTGTATACTTCATTCCATTTCCTGTTTTCCATATTTCCTCATACACTAGACTGCCTTGATTTTTCTGGCTTTGCACTTCCATGAGTCTCTTCATCTCTCTTTCTCTCATTCTCTGTCTGCCTCTATCTCTCTCTCCCTCAAGTGGTTGGGAAAAAAAAAAAAAACAAAGAAGAAGAATTTGAAGTTGTTTGTTTATATCACCTATATTTTGAAGTTGGAAAATGTAATAGCTGGATCTGATAGGCTTGGATTCTGATGATCCATTAACACAGACAAAGAAATCTTTATAGTCTGATGACTCCAAAGAGGGAAAAGTGCATCCAACATTTACTCCATTAGACTTGATATAATCAACACACTGTGATGTATGTTCCAAGCCCTCATACCTGTAAAAAGAAGTATTGCAAGAATTGTGTTTAACAGTACCTGCTAGTGTCATGGTGCTTCATTTTCAATTATCTTAAAAAATCGTGTGAATAAAAAAAAATTTAATAACAAAATATTTAACACCTAGTATATGCTGCATGCTACAAGTACTAAGGATTCAATAGTAGGGAAAGCAGACATAGACTATAATTTCATGGAGCTTACAATCTGATAGTAGTCTGCACACAATCTCAAAGATGAAACAAGGATTCTTACTCATGTAATTACATCATGTTGACTCACCAACAGGATTTGAGAATCAAAGAATAAAATTCCTACTAAGAAATCCTAAGGTTTATATAAATCATCATGCATGATGCTGCCTTTTTAATATTTTACTGGGAAAATTATTGTGAAAGAAAGCACATCAAAAAGTAGACTTACAAAATATTGTTTTTTTAATAAAATGAATGAAAATCCTCTGAGTATACAAAACACATTAAGATATAAATCTCAGAAAGTCAACTGTGGGTGGGGGGAAGAAAAGGAGAAGTTTTTTGGCAAGTACATGTCTAATTTTCCCATTCTCCTAAACAAGAAATGTCATTTTAAGTTAACCTCATTCCAGTAATACTGTTAATGGGAATTAGGAGTGGGCAGTTCCATACTGATTTCTAAAGCAATAAATGCCTGGTTTATCTTCCTAAAAAAATAGCTTGCAATGCAAAATGTAACATTTGCTTTAAAAGCAGTCAAAGTCTGTTTTGAAATTGGGCCAAGATAGAAGCTGATGATAGTGAAAAGAGCTTGACTCTACTAAATTAATTTTATGCCAAATATTGACTTCAGGCAGAGTTTGCAAAATTGTAGTCTTATGGTTAGTTCACCTGATTAGAGTTTGGAAGACTTGACTTTTTACAGACTTACTTTGTGCCAGTGGAGAAGCCCAGGCCACCCACTTTTCCCCACTCTCTAAAATGTTAGTATTTATTCCCCCCATTCCACTAAGTGAGGTTAAATTTGCATTGAACATGATCCATTGCATTCAAGAGAGTAGTTCCTTTGTCTTATTCATACTTTTATCTTGGAACTTAGTAGATGCTTAATATTTGTTGAATTAAGAACAAATAATTTAGACCTTCAAAAGTTACCCATCCACTTCTAGGTGAGGAAACTGAGGCCCCCAAAGGGGGAAATTATGCACCCAAGGCCAACAAGTTAAATGATGCCAGAGCAGAGATTAGAATCTAGTTCTCAGGAGTATTAATAATTTATACCTAGTCATGCATACAGTTTTCTAAAGAAAGATGTCATGATAATTTGAACCTAAAGCTCACAAACTGCAGCACTGTGTCCTCTCTTAATTTTTATTTTATTTAGTAAATGCATAAGTTCTGGTACTTACCTACCAATTTACCAATGCTATCATTTGTTTCATTCATTTATTTAATATGTAGTGCTATTAGCACTCCAGAAATGGTCAAAAGAAATATAAGAAATAATTTATGCCCGCCAACTCCAAAAAGTTGAAGAGACAAAGCACACATGTACAATTTTAAATACCATCTAAACAATAAATAATTGAGAGCTATAAAAAGTAATACTTCAGAGAAAAAAAAACCTGAACAGAAGTTGACATGATCAGTAAAAGGTCCATGAAATTGGAGAGTAGACAGGTTTTGAAGGATGAATAGGAGTTGGTAAAAGAGAGAGCCAGAGGGCATCCCAGATGGCAACACATATATAGGCATAAAAGGGCATAAACACAGGTGAGAAAACAATGTAGAGATGGATCTAAATGGAGTGGTACATTCGCATTGGTGATAATAGAAAGTACTATTGGAAAGGCAGTGACAAAAGGAAGCAGAGACTTGAAGAGCAGGCTAGAATTCACCGTGGGGGCAATCTGTAGCTCCCAGAGGTTTTTGAACACAGGGGTGGCATATAAAAATGGCCATGTAAGAAGATAAAGCTTGCTACAGTGTGCAGAACGAACAGCAAGGAGTCAGACTGGAAGGGGAGGGATTGGAAGCAGAGCCATCATCATTTGGGAGGCTATGACAGTCATCCAGATGTAAAATTAGGGGAGACTAAAGTGAGCTTCTTATGATAGAGATGGGGAATGAAAAGTAGATGTGCAACTTTGCAAAGGAATATCAGTACCTGGGATTGTGCTACTATGAAAGAAACAAGGAAAGAAGGAAACAGAATGAGTTAAGATGGCTTTAAGTTTAAAAGCCTCAGTGACAGTTAACAAAGGTAAGGAGCCAGAAAATGGATACTATTTAATAACTAATTTTTAAAGGGGTAAGAATACAGGGAGTGGTGGTGCATGCCTATAAACCCAGTGTCTTAGGAGGCTGAGGCAGAAGGATCATGAGTTCAAAGCCAGCAACTTAGTGAGGCACTAAGAACCTCAGTAAGACCCTGTCTCTAAATATAAAAAAGGGCTGGGGATGTAGCTCAATGGTTAAGTTCAATCCCTGGTACCCCCCTCCAAAAAAAAAGAGTAAAATAAAAAGGCGAGAATACAAAATACACCCAAATGTTTTAGATTATAGCTCTATCTATCTAAAGGATACACAATTTAATCAAGTATAAAAACAACATTCTATGATCTCACTCATAGAATGCTTTATAGAATCTGCAGCCAAAACCCACTTACTCCCATTGAAAACCCCAAGTAATTTTTTAGCGGGGAGGTACTGAGGATTGAACTCAGGGGCACTGCACTGAGCCACATCCCCAGCCCTATTATTTTGTATTTTATTTAGAGACAGGGTCTCACTGTGTTGCTCAGCACCTCACTTTTGCTGAGGTTGGCTTTGAACTCGCGATCCTCCTGCCTCATCCTCTTGAGCCACAGGGATTACAGGTATGTGCCACCGCGCCAGGCAAAAATTCCAAGTAATTATAATCAACACCATCAGAAATACAAATCTGATAAATACAGTGAACTTAATTTAGTGGAAATATAGTAAAACATATTGTGGACTGATTTGGTAGATATTTTCCTAACATGGAATTCCAACTATAAAAATACTTACCAATAAAACAAGGTGTAATTGGTATCCAAATGTGCACCTACGCCAGGTTTCCAAGAACAGATTAAATATTGCCAGTTGTAATATACACAAACCATGTCCTGAATTTTAGTTTCCAGAGTTCCTAAGAAATGAATGAACTATGAATACTTCAAAGACATGATAATGAATCATTTGCAAATTCAAGTGAAATTTTATTTTACTTCCTTTGGCCTCACTACTTCATTTAGCAATCAACATAATGGGAATATTTTGAGAGGAAGTTATTGGAACTCACTGACACTAACAGATGCCAAAATATTAAATTGCTAATTCTATGATGCTGTGAGGAGTTGAGCAAATACACATTTACTAACACGACCCCTATACTGGCGATTGTATTAATGTATTAAGATTTAGGGTTTTTTTTTGGGGGGGGTACCAGGGATTGAACTCAGGGGCACTCAACCACTGAGCCTCATCCCCAGCCCTATTTTGTATTTTATTTAGAGACAGGGTCTCATTGAGTTGCTTAGCATCTCGCTTTTGCTGAGGTTGACTTTGAACTCGCAATCCTCCTGCTTCAGCCTCCTGAGCTGCTGGGATTACAGGCGTGTGCCACCAACACCCAGCAACATATAGGTTTTTGTCAAACATCTTTACTGAATTAAATAATTCAAAAAGGCATGTCACTCGCTACTAAGAATGATTCTATTTTGTGGCACACTGTCACTGGATCTATCGTATATACGTTCTGGTGCCCAAGATTTAAGGAAGATATTCCCTACATAGATTGTTTTGCTAACATTAAATGTAAAAAGGGAGCCTTGTTTTAACCTTGTTCTGATGTCCAGTAAGTAGCTTCTGACCATGAACTTTGAACTTCTGATCCATTTGTGCATTGCCTTGACAAAAGTGTGCGTATCTTTGCTTCAATCCCTTGGTTAAGATCAAACCCATCTTTATAATACAGGTTCTTAGTAATGATGGTCTGTTTGATAAAAAGACAAGACAAAGTCAAACTTAGAAACAGCCATGGTATAGTGAACCACACTAATAAAACTGAGAGGTTATTGATACCCTGGAAAGTTCCCAACATCTAAGATACTCCTGGTGATTATCTGCTCTGTTGCTCCAGAAATATTTGCATCAGGAATCACCTCTGTATATCATATTGTTTGATAAGATTATTTGAATCTTAGCATCTAATTCAAAACAAAAACAAAAACTTCTGGAAGAGAAAAAAGGTTCTATGTAACCAGCTTGGAACCAATTTCAGGATTTTCACATACCATATGTACATTACATGGCAAATGATTTGACCCTTGACCCTTCCAATATAATATGAAGCCTTCAGGAATCACATAAAGTAAAATCCTGGAGGTAGCTGAAGAAAGATGGACAAATTGTAAGCTCTTGGAGGATGAGAATCATATATTATTTAATTCTTATATTCCTGATATCTTACAGAGTGGCTAGTACAAAAAATTGCTAAATAAGTGTTTATTTGAATTGTCCCTTGAAACTACCTAGCTGAATTATGGAAGTAACAGGATGCTTTCTACCACAGGAATTTTCAAATGAACGTGATTGCCAAGGAAGTAAATAGTTCATAATTCAATCAACTTTCATTAAGAACTTACTATAATACATGCAAAGAACCAAGTTGTGTTTGGTGGGGCACAACTTGGAGTCAAGTTGCTTGACTCCTACAGAGAAAAAAACCCATAATACAGTAGCATATATAAAACCCATGTCTAAATCTATAAGTACTATGGATAAATATGGTCTGAGTGTATCCCCCAGGGGTTCATGTGTTTGAAGCTTGGTCCTCAGTGTGACAATGTTGGGAGGTGGTGGAACCTTTAAAAGGCAGAGTGTAGCAAAAGGTGATTAGGTTATTGGGGGCACTGCCCTCAGAAGAAAATAATGTAATTCTCTTAGGATGCCAATTAATTCCTATAAGAGTGTCATATTATAAAACGTTAAGACTGGTCCCTTCTCACTCTCTGGCTTCCTATCTCACCATGTGATCCCTCCCTTTCACACATGCTTCCACTGTAATGCCATCAGCCTTCAGTCCCTCAACAGAGACTGAACAAATGGGCCACACAATCTTAGACCTTCAGCCTCCACCACTATGAGCCAAATAAACCTTTTTTTTCATTATATATCACCCATCCTCAGGCATTTTATTATAGCAATGGAAAATGGACTAAAATAATAAGTAATTATAAAGTATGGTGAAACAAGTGCTTTTCCAGTTCATATTCCATGGGACCAAGTATCTTTTTTCCTGTACCTCCAGTGGTAGTCTTAACAGTAGATGGGGTGAAAACATATTTAGCAGGATAGATAGGAGATATACACAGACATGGTAGTTTGTTTTATACTAATTAGAACTATTGCAATATGAGAATTAGAGTAGACACAGTAGTCAGAAGAATCACAAGTAAATATCTAATGATAACTCTAATATTGTAAGTACATGCTTTACTTACTTTCCATCTTTCGCTATTGATGTTTCTGTACTGTAATTTGTATTCTATTGTGCATTCCTTAGAATTTTCCAGAGCCAGTGGAGGTTGCCATTGTAAATAAAGATAACCTAAATATCCAGGATCCACTATCACAAAATCCTGAGGAGGATTAACTAAAATAAAATCAATAAAATATTTTAACTTTTTCTTTGTATTTTATGACAAAGATTAGTAAATACAGATTATCTCTAAATGTCCATCAATGATAAATAGATAGACAAAATACAGTACATCTATGCAATGAGGATATTATTTAGCCACAAAAAGGAGTGAAGTGCTAACATATGCTGCAACATGGAAGAATTTATATTTTGCTAAGCGAAAAAAGCCAGTCACAAAAGACCACATATTCTATAATTCTATTCATATAAAATATTTAGAATGGGAAAATCCATAGACATAGTAGATGAGTGGTTGTCAGAGGCTACAGGGAGCAGAGAACATAATTTGATAGTGGTAGTTGTTTCATAACTTTGTGAATGTACTAAAAACTACTAAATAGTACTTTTGAAAAAGGTGAGTTTTATGTTATATAACTTATATCTCAATCTAGATTACTGCTACATCGTTGTTCTCTCTTTTAACAAATCACGTAAGTGCCAGGCGCAATGGCACATGATTGTAATCCCAGCGGCTTGGGAGACTGAGATGGGAGGATCGTGAACTCAAAGCCAGCCTCAGAAAAAGGTGCTAAGCAACTCAGTGAGACCCTGTCTGTAAATTAAATACAAAATAGGGCTGGGGATGTGGCTCAGTGGCCAAGCGTCCCTAAATTCAATCCCCAGAACCCTCCCCCCCCCTAAAAAAAAGAGAAATCACAAAAGCAAAATGTGACCTTGGTGGGTGGCATTAGTGGAATATTGATGAGCATAGCTGCTTTCCAAAATGTAACTTTGATTCTCTGGAAACTTTTTTTACAGAAATAAAAAATTCAACGTGGAGGTCTGGGGCTTCAGCTCAGTGGTAGAGCACCTGGTTTGCACATGTGAGGCACCTGGTTCCATCCGGCAGCACCACGTAAAAATAAATAAATAAATAAATATATTGTGTCCATCTACAACTTAAAAAAAATTCAACATAGAGTTTTCCCAGTCATGTACATGAGAACTTGGTCTAGGATGGGAGAATTTTATTACATAAATGTCTCTAATAGCAATAACTAATCAGTATTAATTCAGTGTTTAGTATACACATAAAATATTGTGGCAAACACAAAAAAAGAGGAATGGAAAAATATAAAATATGTCTTCTATGGATAAGTGCCTTAGAATTTGGAGAACAGACCTTATTGCCACTTTCCGGTTAATTGAATCCTCCAACCTAATGAAATTTCAGAGTTGTCCCAAAAAATCTAGTAGCACCATAATAGTGCCCTCATGTTGCCTTTTTGGTAATTATTTCCTCTCATTTCTGCCACATTATAATTTTAATTCCTCACTGTATAATCCATATCTAGGTGAGGAAATGAATTCACAGAAAGAAATTGTTGCACAGATTATGATGTGACCTGGGACCCGCCCTCCCAGGCACCTATAAAGAAGATCTCTATGGAGGATGAAATGACAATCCTGTTGTTTCGATCCTTATGGCTAGAAATCTTCATCAAGTGCATTATTCTAATTATCTTTGTCATTAAACATGATTGAAAAGTTCTGTAATTATTTCTACATTTCACTTTAAATTGTTATATTCTTATTCATCTAATTTTCATAAAAGTAAGGAGAATTATCAAGGAAAGATTTGAGTTGGTTAAATATCAGGCAATAAGTTTTCAGATATCCAACCTTCTTTTTTTTTTTTTTTTTTTTTTAGGAAAGACTATACAAGAGGTATGGAAAGTGCTTTTGTTGTTGTTGTTGTTTGTTTGGTTTATTTTGTTATTCCCGAGATAATTTTTCGAGGGTACTAGAAATTGAACCTAGGGGTGCTTAACCACTGATCCTCACCCCCAGCCCATTTTATTTATCTATCTATCTATTTATTTATTATTTATCTATTATTTTGTGCTGGGTATTGAACCCAGGGCCTTGTGCATGCGAGACAAGTACTCTACCAACTGAGCTATACCCCAGCCCATTTTTTATTTTGAGACAGGGCCTCACTAAATTGCCGAGGCTAGCTTTGAACTGGTAATCTTCCTGCCTCAGTCTCCCAACTACTAGGATTACAGGTATACACCACCATGCCTGGTTTATTTCTTATTTTCCTTAGGGCCTCACTAAGTTGCTGAGGGATTCCTGGAATTTGTAATCCTCTGGTCTTAGCCTCCTGAGTAGCTGGGATTACTACTGTGGGCCACCAAACCTGGCTTCCTGAAATAATTTTTAAGAACAATCCACCTACCAGTTATGCACTTCCATAAGGTAGACTGAAAAGAGTTAATATTCCTAATTTTAAAACTACTCCACTAACATCAATTTCACTTGTTGTTTTACCTTTTATTTCTGTGCTTGAAGAGAAAGTAGAGCTAAATTCTGTGCAAATTAAAAAGATAAATAGGCATCTGAGATCCAAACAAATGAAAGCCATTTCTCTAAGATTTAGTATCTTGAAATCTTCTCTCTAGGAAAGAAAATTACAAAACTGAAATACTTTACTCCAAATAACAAAGTGAATTAATGTGATGAACAATACTTTTGGGAGCTCTCTGTTTGCTTTCTACCAAGAATTGGGAAATCTGCCCCACTTGAGCTATGGAAATAGAAATAATCAAGTCTGTCACAAGTGGAATCAGAATGGGAGAATTCTGGTCTCATCTTTCTAATAAGAGTAAAAACAAAGCAAAACAAACCCAAGAAGACCTTCAACCCCTCACCCATACACATTCACACTTTCTACATGCTTTGGACATTTTAAGATGACTTCAAATAGCCTTCATCATGAAGGAGTCAGGCCCACCAGAGCATTTTTATTGGTGCATGGGGCAGGGGAGCAGTTACAACATTAGTCTCCATAACAATCATCTGCCCAGCAACATAGAAAACATACTGACACTCTTCTGAGAAAAAAAAAAAAAACCATTGGAAGCTGACTACTGAGAAAGCCTTAGATAATTTTGCTGTATTTCTTCATAACTATTAAATCATCATCTTCTTCTCTCACACTTGTCCCACTTTTACCTTTGTCTCCTGGATCAGGAGATAGCATCACCATCCTCCCAGTTTTCTGAATCAGTAACTTGAAAGTCTCCCTCAAATCCTTGCACACCATTAGCACTATTACTTTCTCACTTGAGTATCTTATCATCAAAGATCTCCTTGTCCAGTCTTTCCTGCCTCCAGCCCCTTGTCCACCCAACCTACAGAAAGGATGGGCTTTCTAAAGGGAAAATGTAAGCTTATTGCCTTTTTTTTTTTTTTTTTTTTTTTTTTTTGGCGCTGGGGATTGAACCCAGGGCCTTGAGCATGTGAGACAAGCACTCTACCAACTGAGTTATATCCACAGCCCTTATTACCTCTTTTTAGAAAGTATAACATTTCACTGCCACAGAATACAAGATAATCATTCTTTTATCCTTGAAGAATACTGTTTCTGTGATCAAAATGTAAAGGATTCATGCCTACAAATACTTACTTAATAAACTTGCCCAAGATTATACAGCAAATTAGTAATAGAGTTGGATGTACAACAGAGAATCTATGATTCCCAGCATGGTATACTTTCACCTTATTATGTTGGGCCCAAATGCTTGGCTCACTGTTATAAAAGCTTTCCTCTGGGACCACAGTGTTTAATAAGTCTTCCTTCAATTAGCTAATCAGACTGAAACAACACTATGCTATTGTTTTTTTTTTTATTCTAAGCCTCATAAAAGCACAAGAGGATTCCATTTTTCTTACTGAGATTCAACAAATATTCCTCTCCTCATTTCCTCCTTCCCCATTCACTAGTCCCTAGCTGCCCACTAATTCATCTGTAAGTACTAGGTAGATTTGGTTACCAAAAGATTACAGCTCTTCCCCAGAGCTACTCCCAGAGATTAAGATGAACACACTGGTTTCTGTTGGGCTCAAGGCATTAAATTGGACAAAGAAATGTTTCCATGTTCTGTAAGGACTAATATAGTCAAGTTTCCCTTAAAATGCTATCAAAGAGAGCCTAACCAAGCTCTCTCTCCTCTCTCCAGCTGTTCTTAAAATTTTCATAGCTCTGCATAATGTATAGCATAAACGCTAAGTAGAGAGTTAAAAAGTCATTTGCTACTGTTTTATAGAGGCTAGTGAAATCTGATTACGACTATTAAAAAGCATTTCCTGGATCGACTCAACACATTAAAGCATACGAAACAGAAAAGATGGCTTCTGGAGTCCTTCATAGAAAGATCCACAAAAGGAGCTCCTGAGTTACATCTAGGGTCCAAACCTAGACTTTCCCAAATGAGCTCATGTAAATTATATCATTGGCTTCTGAGTTCTAGGGTTGTCACTAGTACAGTGAGGGGCTTTATATATTGTATGGTTCCAGGAAAACTTGAATCTTCTCAGGGAGCAAGGGAGGTAGACCTGAAGACAAAGGGCAGATGGGGAAGGAAATGCAGACATCTGAGATTTGAAAAGTTTCTGGTATACTCCATACCTCCCTGTCCACACTTAAGAACCACTCATCTGGTATTAACTGTTTATTTTTTTTAAATGAGGAAATAGAGTTGGGGTTGTGGCTCAGCAGTAGAGCGCTCGCCTAGCATGTGCAAGGCCCTGGGTTCGATCCTCAGCACCACATAAAAATAAATAAATAAAATAAAGGCATAGTGTCCAACTACAACTAAAAAATAAATATTAATAAAAAAATGAGGAAATAACAACCAGAGATGTCCAAACTCACATAAATTATGGTGCAGAGCTAGGACTGAAAACCAGGTCTCTTGATCCCTTTGCACTAAGAATAAATAAATTTTCTTGTCCTGAGTCTGTCCTAATTTACCAAAAGCATCCTTCATCCAACCTTCCTCAATCTGCTGTCACCACACAAACCATCAACCAGACCATCCAGATTTATTATCGTGACACTTCTGGCACAGGAATAATTCAATATATATGGATTGAATATTTTTTTTTGCCACATACTATTCCAGATAAATCTTGCATAAGGTACGAGATTGAATGGCAACAGTCAAAATATCTATAATAATAATAATACTTTCTGCCATTTATTCAGCATTCACAGCATCCCAAGAACTGTTCAATGCTAAGCACTAAACACATATTAACTCAGACAACACTATATAATGTTCAGCCAGCCTTGGACATTATGGCACAATTTTTAGTTTCATCTTAAAGATCAGGAATTGAGACATAGAGAAGGTAAACAACTTCTGTCAAGTCACACACACCATAAATGAGGAGGTTTGGATCTGAATCTAGACTAGTGCCAGAGCCCTTGATGGCCATCACTAAATGGGGCTAAATATGAAGAGTAGACTTCTATTTTCAACATACTCAGTTTCACAAAACACTATTGCTGACAGCTTCCCAATGGCAATGTCCTTTGGAATGGCAAACCTAAAGCAATTTCCTCTTTTCAGCCTTGCTTTCCCACCTCTTCAAAGTCACGTAAATTAATCTCCTCACAGAGGACTTAGCTGGGTCAGGGAGGTATAGCTCCATAGTAGAGTGTTTGCCTAGCACGTGAGAGGCCCTGAGTTCCATTCCCAGCAGTACCCCCCCCAAAAAAAAAAAAAATTGGCTAGATAATCCTTGCATTGTTGGAGAAACTCCAGGTACTTACCAATACTATGGTTTCTCAAGAATTGGATTATCATAAGCAGTTATCACAGGCTCTCCTTTTCTTTCCTCTCCACTTCAGAGATATTCATTAGAATCTCTACTATTTTTCTTCTTGTTTGATAACCAAGCACATTGAAAAAATTAGATAGGTGTTCCTGAAATAGCCAGAGGGCCAGAACATAGATACCACAAGTTACAAGATGAGGAGGTTATGGGTGGTGCTAAAAGCCATCTAAAGCAAATTTAGAATCACCGCAAGGTGTTGCAAAAGTTGACAGGACTAATTATTCTTTGGATAAAGTAACAGATTTATGGCAGAGGAGCTTCTTATAATCAAAGGCACAGTGGTGCACACTGCCTCAGCTGCTATGCTTCGAAGCAAATTACATCTCAATTTGCATGTATAAAATGGAGGTAATGATACAAGCCTGGCATGGGGTGTCTTAAAGATTAAGTATGTGAAAGTGCTTTGAGAACAGTAGATTACTCTATATACTAAAGGGTTTGCTTCTGAGAACTTTGTCACTAAGTAAAACTTGAAAATAAGCTTCAACCTACATATTTGTTCCTAACAATTCAGGTTTTATATTCTACTGTTGACAACTAGGCACTTACAATTAATCTCCAATTTCTACCATCCTTTCTGACCTATTATTCTGCATTTATTAATCTTTATCTTTTTTTAAAGAGAGAGAGAGAAAGAGAGAGAGAGAGAGAGAGAGAGAGAGAGAGAGAACTTTTTAATATTTATTTTCTAGTTTTCGGCGGACACAACATCTTTGTTTGTATGTGGTGCTGAGGATCGAACCCAGGCGAGCACGCTACCGCTTGAGCCACATCCCCAGCCCCAATCTTTATCTTAATAACAATAATTTCTTGCATTTGTCGAGCTTTGTATAATTTATAAAGAACTTGTTGAATTCTCTTAATAAATCTGAACATGCATAAAATTGTTATTGAATATTTACAAAATGTAAAACTAGGTCTTAGAGAGATTATCTGACTAGTACAGGTTCTCACAGCTGGTAAAATCCATACAAAAAGGAAAGGAAAGAGAAATAAGGCACAGAAAAATGTCCTAAGGGTAATAATGTATAATACACCTTTTTTTTTTTTTTTTTTTTTGGTATCGAGGATTGAACCCAGGAGTAATCTACAACTGAGCCACATGCCCAGACCTTTTTATTTTTTATTTTGAGACAGGGTCTTGTGAAGTTGCTTAGGGCCTCACTAAGTTTGCTGAGGCTGGCTTTGAACTTGCGATCCTCCTACCTCAGCCTCTCACCACACTGGGATTACGGGCATGCACCTCCATGCCTGGCAATATGCTTTTTTTTTTTCCTTAAGAAAAATTTCTTCTCTATATTGTCAAAAGAGAAGAAGGAGGAGGAGAAGGGGGAGGAGGAGAAGGAGAAAGAGAAGTTGTTTTCTCTGAAGTGTCTGAAATAATCATAGGCTTTTGAATTTATTCTATTTTAAAGGAAATGACTAAGTGGCAGAAATAAATAATTATTTATTAGAAAATGATGAATGAAATTTTGCAAAGTCACTAAAGTGATTTCTTTAAAAAGGTGGGGGGGGGCACATAAACCAGGAGCAACGGCATATACCTCCAGCCCCAACTTCTCGGGGGCTGAGGCAAAAGGATCACAAGTTTGAGGCCAGCCTGGGTAATTCAATGAGACCCTGTCTCAAAAATAAAAATAAAAGGGTTGGAAATGTAACTCAGTGGTAAAACTCCCCTGAGTTCCATCCCCAATACCACACACAAATGAATAAAAATAAAAATGACATGGGCATGATTTTCTGTTACTTTTAAGTAATAAAAAAATAATCAGTGTTACAAAATTTGATACTTTCCATTCACACTTTTTAAAGTATCTAAAAATATCAGCTAAAACATTTAGAATAGGGATTGGGGAGAAAAGAAATGTGGATAATAGAGAAGGAGAACTTGAGGAGAGAGAAATGGAAAAGTACCACGATTACATATTTTGTTTTGTTTTGGTTTTTTTGTACTAGAGATAGAACCCACCACTTCACATGTGCTAGGCAGGTGCTCTACCACTGACCTACATTCCAGCCCCTAGGATTGAATAGTTAACCTACATCTGCAGGTGAAATGATCAACCAATAGGTTCTCACATGAGAAAGCATTGACCAGGAGACCTGGGCTCTGGCATCAGCTTTGCCAGGTAACTTTGGAAAATTATAACAGCAATCATAGTTTATTTAGTTCTTATTAAATGTCCACCTCTGCATCAGGTGCTTGATATGGATTAGCTCATTTGAGTCTCCCAAACATTGATATTATTATCTTAATATTACAATTTTACAAATGAGGCATTTGAGGCTCAGAAAATTTAAGTAAACTTCTCAAGTTCATAAAACTTAAACAAGAAAAAATGTCTCTATCTGATTTTAAAGCCCATGCTCCTTTAACATATAATACTGTCTTTCAAATAGTCGCATTCTGAGATGATCAATTTTCTCTCATATAAGTTATCCCTGGGATAACATTCTCAATTTCATCAGCTAATCTGCTGTGTATCCAATTACCATTTCAGGATGTGACTCAAGAGCACTGGCTTCCTGGATAACAAATCTTGCTTCAAGGAGACCATCCAACACGTTTAATGTCTACTCATAGCTTCTGGAGTATGGCCATGACTCAACCTCATAATCAAAGAATCTGGAACCTGCCAGGCCTTGAGATCTAACAACATGCTGAGATCGATACATGGCGATCATCAGCCTATGACCTAGTGATGAGTCAAACCTAATTTCATTTTTAAAATAACATATCCTGCAGTATAGAAGCTTATAAAGAATGCTGAGGATGATTTTATGTACATTCAAACACAAAAGGCATTCAAACAGATTTATCATGTTTGCCATTAGTCAAGTAGTATAAGTAATTTCCTTCAAAAGACACAAGGCATTTAAGCACATGCAGAAAGGTAAAGTAAGTGTAGACAAATGAAATACATATAGGGTTTATTTTTAACAAATATCATTTAATATCCAGTTTTACATAGCATGATTATATTTGTATCCCTTCTAAGATTGTATACTAACATTGATATATGTTGATATTTATTGAATATGTTCAATAAATCTTGGCAAAACATAAGTAGTCATTGTCCTCCATAATTATTTAGATGCTTTCCAGTATGATATCCTGAATTCATCCAGCTAACAAGTTTCCTGAAGTGCTGTCAAAGCTAGAGAATTCAGTTTTGTGCTACCATGGCAACATCCAAGTTTACAGTGTTAATTCATGAAGCATTCTACACAGTTCAGAATTTGTTCTTATTCCAAGAAGGTCAGAGATTTGTTATTTTATAATCCCACCCAACAAATCACCAACAAGCCTTTAAAAAAACAGTGCATTAAAATAAAATTTTATGACCCTGAGGGGAAAAAAACTGTAGGTCATCACTTAGTAAATATTCCTTAAAACAAGTCAAATTCTTATTATTAATATACCTTACTTTCTATCCAAATGAAGTCCCAGCTGAAGACCAATGCACTCACTGTCCTGCATTGCTGCTCTGGAATTAGCAAAACAATCTCTTTTGTTTCAACAATCCTCCACACTCCCACATGCTCCCAAATACTTGCTTGCAAATAGACAGCATGTACTGTACCCAAAACATCCACGTCATGTAATTTCTTCAAAAGTAAGTAGTAGGATGTGCTCCACCCTCTTAACACTCAGTAAAAACAGAATATGAAATGTGCAATAGCAGGTTTTATAATCTTTTGAGATTATTCCACAAATGTGCTATTTTATGTCCATAAAGTATAGATTATAAGAACATGGAAATGTGGTATTATATTACATATAGGACCTTCAGTTAATAAAAACAAATATTTCTATCATTATTCAAAAATTGTTTTGGGGACACTACTATATACCAAGCCCTGTCATAGGTCCTGGGCCTACAGCAGTGAACAAAACAGAGTACCTACCCTCATTTCTGGTGTGGGAGACAGACAATAAACATATTAGATAAATTGTGTAAAGGTAAATAAGAGGATAACAAGGAAGAGGGTGATGGAGGTTAATTTTAGAAAGGCTGGGTAGGGAATGCCTCTCTGTGAGAGTGACATGAAAGACCTCAATGAGGGAATGGATCAGGGAAAGAATCTTCCAGGTAGAAGAAAAAGCACACTTTTAAATCCTAAAGCAGAAATCATTTTAGTAGTTCCTGGAATAGCAAGACCAGTATGATAGGAAATAGGAAAGGTTAGGAGATAATTTCACAAGTATAGGCAGAGAGTAGGCTGTGGTAATGAATTTACCATCTATTTTTAGTGAAATGGGAAGTGATTAGACAGTTGTGAGCAGAGTGATATGATGAAAATTGCATTTTAAAAACTATTGTATGTATTTTAAAAATAAAAGCAATTAAAAAAAAACTATTATATGGATGGAAGAAAAAAATAGACAGAATAACCCAGACTAGAGCAAATAGTGACTCAGACCAGGATGATAGCAGTGAAGATGCTCACAGAATTTACTGGTGAATTGAGTGTGGAGTATCACAAAATGATGCCTCTATTTTTGCCATGGGCAATGAGATAATTGTTTAAGGGGTCTAGGGATGATAGTTAAGAGTTAAGTTTTGGATGGTTAAATTTGAGCTGCCTAACTAATATCCAAGAGGAGAAGATAAGTAGGCAGTTGGATACTTGACTCCAGAGATTGGGGAAAAGATCAGAGATATAGATATAATCTGGGGAGTCATCAGCAGAAAGACAGTATTTAAAAACCATAGAATCAACTGAAATCATCTATGGTATAGTGTAGATGAGATAACGAAAAGAGGGCCATAGACTAGTGTCCTCAAATATCCAGAGGCTAAATAGATAAGGAGGTGCGAGAAAGGGAGACCAAGAAGAGGCCAAAGAAGTTAAGAGGAAATTTCAGAGTTTGAGGTATCTCAGAAAACAAGTGGGGGAAGTTTCAAGTATAGAGTAATAGACAATGTCAAAAGCTGTTGATAGGTAAAATATGATGAGGCCTGAGAATGGCCTATGGCGCTTAGCAAAATATAGATAAT